GTGCCTATGTAACTGCCCTACCCTCTGCTCCAGGCAGTGACCACCTTGCCGGCTCTTTCCATCTCAAGCATCTCTGAATTTCACATTTCTCTCAATCTGCCTGCTTCCTGCAGGTCTTCCTTCAAATGTACCCTTCTCAGCGAGGACTTCACTAGCAATCTTGTAGTTGCCAACCATCCTCATCTTACTAAATTGCTTCCTGTTTCACTTCACTCTAGAACACTACTCTAACAAAATAGATCATTTAATAATTCTTGTTAAGTATGTCTCCCCTGTTAGAATCCAACTTCTAGGAAGACAGGGACTTCTGTCTGTTCCCCCCACCACACACACACACACACCTCACCCCCACCCAACTGCTGCCATATCCCTAGCACCAAGTATAGTGTCTACTACTTGGTAGACACTCAACAAATAACGGGAATAGTGAATTGAAGACGAGGAGATAAGACAATGCTGTGAAGACCTCTGGTGAATAAGAGAAAACCAGCATCAGATTTTTTGCAAATGGAAAAGATTCAAGCATGTCTGAAAACTAGTAGGAAAGAGCAGAATGAAAAATACTAGGGTATGGGAAAAGGCTATGCCAAATCTGAGAGGAGGTAGAAGTGAACAGAGGGGAGAAGGACAAATGCACAGAACAGGATCTGCGAGGAGAGGCGTGGGTGTGGGTGGGGAGAGGCACTGACAAGCTCATGCCGGGTGCAGGTCTGCCCTGCTATTGGGAAGTAGAATGCGCCCATTTGACCCGATCTAGTAGGCTGATTTTTAGGTCTGAGCATGTTATTACATTGATTTCTACAGAGTTTTTGTTGAGCAGTCCCATACCCCCAAAATAACCAATCAAATCATACCAAAGAGGAGCACTCAACCTTTTAAGTAGCTGGGGAACATATACTGGGTGTTTTATATTTTTCTTGGCATGGAAGAACTGGGGTGTAGGCCAGATATCTATGCAGGGTGGTGAGAAGATTCACCAGAGATAGAGTGGGGAACAGAACAGGTTGATCTACTGAAATACACTGCTGAGTGGTGGGGAGCAGAGGGCGAGACAGGAGAGGTCTGCTGAGATGCTTTATCTCAAGGCCCGAGGTAGAGCTTGTGTGGTGAGGTTTTTTTTTTTTTTTTTTTTAAAGATTTATTTATTTATTCGTACAGAACTGGGGTACAGGCCAGAGATGCAGAGGGTGAGAGGATTCACCAGAGACAGAGTGGGGTACAGAACAGGCAGATTGACGAAGTACACTGCTGAGGGGAGCAGCGGGCGGGTCAGGAGAGGTCTGCCGCGCCATGTGGATCTCCTCCGGGACAGGCGGGGATCGAACTCATGAGGAAGTGGCTTAAGCTTCTTTGTGCTGTGCTTTAACCCGCTGCGCCACCAGGGAGGGCCGTGTGGTGAGGTTTTAAAGGAGAGGTTTTAAAGGAGACACTTTAGATAATGGGATAAAATTAATGAGAAAGAATTTCTCAACAGTGCAGAATTGGGGCTTTCCCCCATCAACCCTAGACAGCCAGTGAAAACCAAGATGGAAAGGGACTAATATTGCTATAAGAATTATGTTAAAGCCCTCATTGGATACTTTCAGGCCTGGACACAACATGCTACTCTGAAGTGTAGCACTTCTCTAAAGGGGCAAATGATAGAGGGAGGATCGTTGCTGTTGACCTAGTTTGGGGTGCCTTCTACTGACAATTTAAGAGGGGTCCCTGGAATGGGCAGGTGTGAGGACAGATATGAAGGTACAAAGTGGTCTCAGAAGCTCAGGGAGGATATATACCATGTGATGAGGACTAGAAACACGAAAGGGATCCACATAGAAAAAGGAGTCACTTAACACTCACACTGGAGCATGGGCCCAAGTACTTTCCAATGATGAAATATTGGAAATAAGTGTATCTAAAAAAGATCCCTTATTTCCGAAGGAATTAAGTGGGGCTGCTTGGTCTCCATGAAGTTATGGACTATTGGGCTCTTCACAGAAACTACAGTCCTCTGCAATCTATAATAAATTTAAAAATTTTTATCCTTATAAATTTTAAGGACTAGCTAACTTAGGCTGCAACTGTTAACAGCTACCATTATTTGTGCCATGTGTATCAAATACTTTACGTCCTTTACGCTGTACAACCTCCACATAGGAAGGAGTTTTACTCCCATTTTCCCAATGAAAAACCAGACTTTGAAGGATGAGGGAACTTGTCCTGTCACAGCAGTAATAAGGGGTCAAACCTGAAATCAAACCCAAATGCATCTGGCCCTAAAGGCTTACTTTCAACCTCTATCCTCCTTGCCATGCTGATGCTTCTTTTTCTTATGAAAACACAGGAGTGGTGATAGTGTGTTTCTATGAAACGTGGGTTAATTCTATGAGGTATGTAGTATTATTAGGAAGACATTTTTATACCAAGTCATCAACCTAAACATCTTAGCATGCATTGTGCTTTTCCAATCTATGTCCTGCAGAGGGACACAAGAGGGAACAAATGAATGAATGAGAGGCCTTAAACTCAGGAGAATTCTATGCTGAAGCACGGAGGAGTGGTGGACATACCAACGTCCCTGACCTCGAGGAACCAAAAGAGTGGGAGGGTCTAGAACACTGCGGGGAAAGTAAAAGGAGGAGTTTCTGCAAAGCAGAGCGCAGGATCCAGAGCAAGCGCTATTCTTGTCACTGAAGTGATGGGCAGGGGCCCCTTGACAGGTGAAGCCTGCGTTACTGAGACACAGCATATAATCGCTGACAACAGGTCATGTCAGACCAAGCCATTACCTTCTTTGACTGGGTTTCTGGAGCTACCACACACCATAGCATGCAGCTGTAAGCCATGAGGACAACTCCCTTAGAAGAAGCACGTGTTCTTCCTTTACCCTTTTCCATCCCCTATAGTTACTAGGCTGAATGACAGAATCAGGATTTAACAATTAAGGCTACCAAGGATAAAAAGATCTCGTGCTTGGTTTCAAAAACCCAATTGAGTAAATCAGATAGAGATGGGGGGTGTTTTAGGGGCAACAAACAAAGTGTCTTTGAGTAAGCTGATAGCAGGCTCAATGAGAATGACAGTGTGATGAAGCTGGCACATGAAGAAAAGCAGTCTCAGCTGCATTAATAAAACATGAGGTCTATGTTTGAACAAAGGCAGTCACGGCCCTGTTCTAACCTGGTTTGGCTAAAAAGGACTGTTACTGTGCTCTGTTAGCTGTTCTCCACTTCGCCCCACTCTCCACTATGACCTAGCCTCTGTACTGCCTACGGCAGCACCCAGGTCCCCTACCCTGACCACTTCACACTGAATCCAGTCAATGAGAAGCACAAGAGACAGACAGTGGGCAAGCAGGCTCTTGTGCTACAGTCTCCCTGTTTGAGCTCCACCTTTCTGACAGCAGCCGTGTCCTCTACAGTTCCGGGTCCTGTCTGTTGCTAGTCCCCAAGTGCCTCAGCATTCCCTTCAGGGTTCCCCTTAACCCTACCCACACCCCCATAAACTGGCCCTTCATGAAGTTGTTTCAAAAGACCAAGTTCATAGGCTGTTTCCTGCAGGGCCTCACACTGACACTGAAGAGCCATAAAGCCATTTCTCTGAGGATCAGTTGGTAGAACAATGTGTTTGGGTGAATGAAAGGACAACTCCAGGAAACAGGCTACTTCACTGGGAAAAGGTAAAGGGTCACTATCACACTTCTATGAAAAGGCTGGTCCACAGCGAGCCCAAGTCTGTACTTCAGAGTAAACTTTCTAAAGAGCTGGAAAAGGGGCAGGTGAGCTCTCCTAATAAGCCATGAGTTTCCGAAGTTTTGAGATGTGCAGAGGCCCATATCATGAAGGCCACAGGAACAGCTGACAGGAAAGTCTAGAAATAGACTTTCCCAGGCAGGAAACTTTATGACTTGCTACCAACTACACACAATACAGGCAATGCTTTAGAAATAACCAAACTGAAGGAAATCAATTTTAGGGATGAGTTTGGCTCTTGACTTTAATAAAGAGAACAGGACTCTGTGTCCAGTCTGTTCATTCTCAGTATTGAAATTCTTTGTTACAACCTAAGATAAGAACATATAACTTAGTTTACATTTCAGCATCAAAAGAAGTTGTTCCCAAACCACTGAGCCATTGATGAAAAACATTTTTCCCCAAGTAATCTGTATCTACACATATATCTCTATTGCTACTTCGGAACTGTCACTTCATTTTGCAAACCAAGAGCCAGGAAGTGTATTGTGCCTTTGGGACACAATATTTACATACAATCTGTCCCTGGAAAAAAAATAAAGTAAGATAACCTCAGTTCACACTGGTGAGAAAATCTTTTTGGCAAGTCCTCAACAGCTGACACCCAGAAAGGTCAAAGTGCATGATGCTAAGTGTGTGCCCGACTCGACAAGAGTTTATCACTTATTACTGCCTAACGGCAACACAGTCAGCTGTTTACTCATTCATTCAACAAACATCTGAGATTTGCTCCTTTCTAGGGCCTACTGGGCCCTGCCGGGGAACAAAAGATCCAGACGCTGCAATCAGAGGTGGTCAGCAGGTCTGGGAAAGGCCTGATTTCAAAGACCAATGAATGCGAACAGTGAGACTGCGGCGCCCAAGAACTTGTCCCAAAAACTCCAGGAACGCCAGCCTTGGGGCACGGAAAAGGCGGGACTCGGGCCTACAGGAGGCCGCCTGGGCCTCAGCCCTCTGGCCACGCGGCGCCATCTGCGACCCAATACGGGACGAGCCGGATCACTGGCCCCGCATTCCCAGCCGCCGCCGACTAGGCAGCAGCCCCTGCGGCG